TCTATACTAACATATTCACGGTACAATAAAATCAAAGTGATAAAAGTAGATAAAGAAATCCATACCTTCTACGTTGCACTTGATCCTTAGTTTGAGGAGCTGCTGTGATAACCTGGAATCCAGACTGTAGCCGGGGCCTACGCCGGGTGTCCCTGTTTTGTCGGGCTGGAGTAGAAGCCTACAGTGCCGAGGAAACCTAACCTACAGGCCTGGAAAAGACTAGCCTGGGTACCAAACCTTTGGTCGGCTTGGGGGTGATTTTACTACCCTGGCTTTTACTAAGCACACGCGAGCTATACCCACGGACCTATCTCCAGCTGGTTTCCCTTATCCGCTGGCTCCCTGTATTACGCCGAGTCTAGATCTTCTATTGCGCGCCGACCCAAAGACTGGAGAACAGGTTATACCTGTGTAGGCTGACGGAGTATGGGCGGCAGATGGTCAGCCGTCAACTGGGTGTCGCTTCGGGAAGAGTTGATCAGATTACAGAGTGGGGGACGTTATCAGTGATAACACACCGCTTTCACATGTCTGTCAACCGTGGGGTTATCCTTCCCAAAGGAGCAGGGGTCGGCAAAACCGTCAAAGTGCTTTTTATGAAGGATCTATGATATGGCTTTATCAAAGGGGCATTGTGTAACATTTTCGCAACATACCTGTGCACTTTTATCACATTTCTGACATATATTGTTGGCGCTAAAATAGGCTATTTTTTTCTTAAAGGCGACGTGAACCCTGTGCATGCATTCATAGTGCATGGGTATAGCTCTATGACGGAAGCATTATTTTCTTTATGTTAGGTGAACAAAATGTGTCGCAGAGTTGCATTTAACGCCTAGCTCCATAGAGGCGACTAGTTAAGCCCATTATCTCTGGTTCATGTTACAGGTTCATTTCAGTACTCAGGGACTGAACAATGTTTGGCGAGAAAGAAACAGAAACGAAATGCATCTCTTATTATAAACATTTTATTTACAACAATATTAAAACAATTAACGGGCGGAGAAGCGAGGAACGGTTTACCTACGATTTAACCAATCAAACGGCCACGGAGACCATGAAAAAGCTGCGCTCTAGACTTATTTACTTTTCCTGTGTTTGGTTGCTTACTATACGGAGGAAATTCAAGTAACATTTTATTCCATTGTCCAGTGAGGAATACGTTGTACTTACACGGTACTTACATACAACAGATAAAACATCAACTGATCGTACGCTATATGTATTTTTTACAAAGTGATTCGTACATTGTGTTTTACAAAACCAAATAGAATGCACAGAATAGCCAAATCACGTAGTTGCAACTTTCTCCTGCAATTTTGATTACAAGATACAGGAGTTTTCTTTTACACAACCAACACGTTTCGGTGTCTATCAGACAGAGGCTACATTTAGCGGCGAGAAGCAGAACTCCAGTCAGAAGTTCTGAGGAAGTGTCTGATAGACACCGAAACGTCAGCAAGGTAACTATCTTGGTTGTGTAAAATAAAACTCCTGTATCCTATACTTTGCCAATCTGATGAAACTATTTTCGAAAATTTTGATTATAGTAACAAACTTATGTGTGAAACTACTGACAACCACATTCATCCACTATCATGTCTTCGTGGTGTCTGAGGACGACCTCTCCGTGCTCAAGATACAGCATGCTTAAGGCCTTTAACTTAGTGGGAATACAGCAGGGCATGGGCGCCTTCCCCGGCTTGTGCAAGTTCAGTATGCTGGTCATGACTGCGTGGTTAGTGGGGTGGTAGAGCTGGTCTACTGGCGTCGGGCACACGCCTTCGCAGCGAAACGCGTTGAACCTCTTGGGATAGATTATCCACGTGCCCCAGCCGATGTGGTCAAAATCCACCCAGAACTCGACTTTCTTGCACGGGGTGTCGTCTTGTTTATCAGAAGAACTGTCTGTAGTTGTTTTTCCCTTCTTTGATTTCTTCTGTCGTCTCCTGTTGGAGCGCGCGATGCGAGTTTCCGTTTGGTGGTCGTGTCTGACCGGATGTTCTGCGCGCTTGGCCTTCTGGGAATCTCGAAGTAGGTCTGCCTTTTGGTTCTGAGAGAACATCACCAGACTCACGTCTTCGGACAGTTTGATCTCGACTCTTCTTTTCTGCCGAGATTCTGAGTTGGGTTCGTCCGCGTAGGATTCCGGATTCTCGTCTTCCGGATCGTAAAATTCCGTTTCCGTTTCGTCGGAATCCGGAATTTGAACCGGGGACATGTTCTTTACCAGCATGAGCCAATCGGAAGCGTCGGTGCTCAGGTCCCGGGGACGTCGTCTCTCCGGTTTGGATGTGATCTGGATCTCAATGGTGTCAGCTGACACGTTCTGCCGCACCCATCTATGGGGATGGAAACATAAAAATACGTTAAAAGCATCCAATGCAATTTCAGGGTTGCAAAGCGAAAAATGTTCTCGATGAGGTAATCTGTCTGAGATTGACATTTAGTGCCATTTCATTGAAATTCACACTTGAAATCGTCTTGATATAGTTTTTTTTCTTAAAGATCTAAGATTGGGAAAGGCTGGTCAACATGCAATAGTTTATTTACGAATTTAGCTTTAAATATAGCTAACCTTGACAGTTTCTTCGTTAAGTCCACCACTCTCCACCCGTCCACGGTCAAATCCTCTTGGATCTGCTTGAAGTTGGCGATTCTGTGTTTAACTGTGCACGTGGCGCCTTCCTTCTTCTTCTAAAAGGATAGAAATAACACAAAGCGGCTCTATTAGTGCTATGAAATATACAGCGTATTGAATAAAGTCGAAGTGCATGTGAGAGACTAGTTTTGGTGATGATTTCAACTTCAGATGCTTTAAGGGTGAAACTACACACGTTTCTCTTCTGCAACACAAATCATACTGATGGCCTGCCTCCTTTGCTGTCTGCAGACAGCACCTGCAAATCTTACGTGTTACGCTGAACGGCGCTTCAAATTAGATCTAATTTGAAGCGCCGTTCAGCGGAACACGTCAGATTTGCAGGTGCCAGTTGACAGGAGATTATAAACCTATATGCTAGTATCAATAACTTGTCACACCAAAACATCTAACTCCGTGTGGTTTTCACGGCATACCGGTGTAGTACATTAGAACCCGCTAGGATGCGATTAAAAATTACAAACCATTAACACATAATATTCTTGACATGTATACTGATCGAAATACTTATCATTATAAAGAAATCGACCTTACACGAACCTTGCACTTTTTCTCCTCGTGACTGAAAACTCGGACGGAGAGTCGGCGTGGAGGCGAGAAGTTGGGTCCGCGCATGCGCAGCTCGGCCAGCCGGATGTCCATGTCAGGAGAGATGTTGGAGGTGTCGAACACGTAGCTGAATTTTCTGCTACCTTTCTGCTTGGCATCTGTATAAGGATCGAAGGTCCATATTTGGTAAGACCATTCAACAATACAAAATCATGGCGATAGCACTCGTGCCATTTGCCATAGAATGCTTTGGTATGACATCGTCAATCAATGCATTTTAGTTGAAACGACAGCAGAAAAACACAACTGATATATGGAATTAAAAAAAAAAAATTTAAAGGATAATATTAGGTACCAAGATACAAGTAAGGCCACACTGACTTAATTTTAATGATGACATACATTAAGACCCCGAACTATAGCTTGTGTGCAGCGAGGAATAGAAAAAATCCAGCAAAAAATGCTGCTAAACCACAGGAATATACAAAGCTGGCAGTAACTACTCTCCAAGCACAGGTTTGTGCTTATTTTTGGCGTGTTTTTAAGTATTTTATCGGGCTTTCTTTTTGGTAAAAAAAAGATATCAGAGCGTAAAAAGAAAACCGGATTAAAAATCCTAAAACACACCAAAAGCCACCAAAGCCCAAACCTCTGCTTGGAGATAAGTTTTTTACCTTCCTGGACTGCCTGGTGTGAATGAGTCATTATGGGCGGATACAACGGATTAAAAACGCCCCCAGCGGAGGGATGGAGATCACGATTAGTCATTATCACTGTTCTGCTAATTAATCCTTTACACCCATTGTGAAACTCCGCATTGCGTTAAATGTGACATGGGGGGAAATAACGTGTACTAGTATCACAAATTGTGTTATGGCAAGAAGTAAGGTTGTTGCACAAAAATATGAATGATGTTGGTGGTTGTCATCTGAATTCAGATTCCTTCGATGGTTTTGTGTTTAATGAAAGAGTTAGTCGCACAAAGAGTTGTTATTATGTATATTTACCAACTGATAAATTATTTCTGTCAACAATCTGTCCGTATTTTGAAGGAAACATCGTAAGATCTTGAAGAATTAAAAGAACGTTTCCATTTCGGACGACGAGTACTAGTGTTTGAATATATGGTGTAGAGACTTGTACTATTGGATGAAAGATTGCAAGTCAGATCATGAATACGCTGCATAATCTACATGAATGATGAAAACGTTGTCGTCGAGTTTTTGCAAACAGTGTGAAGGGCCGTTTGCTTCACGCTGTAACAGAAGAGGATCGGTGTGAAAAAGAACCTTATCTGATCCGATAGACTGATACGCTTGGTGTGGGATGTGTATTCCCGTCTAGGGCCAATACACATTCTTTTTCTGTAAAGTGAAAAAAAAAATCTCCGGTATCGGAATACGCTTTTTCCTATTCTTCCAGCTGCGTTGCAAGAATCTGAAATTCTAATGCGCAAAACTGGCTAGCGTTGTGGGAACCGTGTATAGTATCGTGGAAAAGGCCGAAAAAAACTTCAAAATACTAGTAATCCCCGACCGAAACCTCGAGATTGAGATTGAGGGAAAGCAAACATCTGTGGCACCAGTCAAAACGTACTCCAATCTAAATCCCATTTCGACCTATCGCTTAGTCTACTTTTGGTCTGTAAAGAGAAAAAAATCTTGTTCCTTTCACATTCCGGAAGATACAAAACTTAACCTAATTTGGCTCATCTGAACTACAAACTTTCAGCTGTAGAAAATTATTATAATCCGGTTAAAACTGACTCACGGACCTTTCAGTGCGAAGCTCCTGACGGTGTCTGACGGTAGCGGCAGAGCTTCCTTCTCCTCTCGGGTGATGTTGAGGTCCGTCCCGGAGCTCAGACTCTGGTAAAAGTCCAGCATGAACTCGGGAGTCATCCTCCCGGCCACGGCCATGCCGCGCATCGTCACGTTAACCACGCCGCCCTCGCCATGCTCGTAGCTTCCCAGCGTCAGTCCCTCCCCGCCGCTCGCCCGTAGCAGACCCGACGCAGCTACTAGCGTGTGCTCGTTCGACAAACACTCACGACACGGCAGCAGTTGAACAGCCAGGAACGCGGCAACGGTCGTCAGAAACGTCCACATGGTTTTTACGCGGAGCTGGTGTGGTTCCGGAGGTGTTACAGCCGGCCTGCCTGCCTGCTTGACTGCTGGCATTAACTGATTACCACTACTTATAACCCAGATTCCACCTCTTTAATATTCATGACCCCCAGCGAAAGACAAAGGCAAGGCGGGAGAGGATTGGAAGACAATGAAGTGTCAGACATTCAGCGGTGTTCATCTTGGTCTAGTAGTGTTGAAAGCAAACCGACAGAAAAATTGATAAAGAAACTCCTGATCAAAAGTTTTGACTGATTTCTTGCTGCTCATCTTAGGACCTCATTACGATGTTATCTCAATCACCCCACAACTGGTAATTAACTCACCCTCCCGTCTTTAGACAAGCTAAGTGACTTGTCGATCGGCCATTGACTGACAATAAAAGAGCAATCAACAAACGGCGTACAAACACAGTAAGCACACAGACAACACGGCCGCGCTATAGTCATGGTAAACCCCACGGGTCGTCACATCTAGCCTCTAACAGGCTTCGGGAGACGGTCAAAAGCCTAGAAACTTGCCAAATAGAGAGATAACATGCCGAGGGAGTTGGTCAGCTTGACAGCACATTTTGCCGCAAATTGTATTGCCGGTTGCGGCAAAATGTATTCTTTGGCGGACCAACTCCCTCGGCATGTTATATCTCTATTAGGCAACGAAGTTTCTAATCTTTCCAGCCGTCTCTTTCTAGCCTGGTAGAGGCTACGTCACAGTTACGCTATCCCTCCGATTATCTCACATCTTTACGCTTTTTCTGTTCACGCCAATCTCACAACACCATTAAGTACTTACTCTAACACCATCGCGTATCCGGTCAGAAAGTCAAAATTTGCACACGACTGACATAGCTGAACCCAAGATAACATTACCGGTGTAGGTTATGTTACCATTTCTACATGCCGTGTGAAAATTGGTGAAATTACCTGTGCCAACAATGGAGAGAAAGATGGAAGCTCGATCCTTAGAAAGATCAACGGGATTTTATGGAAAACTTGATCAAAGGAATACCCTATCACGCTTTCGGTACCATAAATAACCCGCAACACTTGCACAAAATCATCAGACAAGTAAGTATAATACATGCATGCAACATAACGCGAACGTGCATCTATTCAAGTCTACTTTTAGAAGTCTAGTCAGACTAAGGAGCTTGATTTTTAAGCTCCTTGCTGAGACACACAAGAGTGCTCTCCAAGCAGAGGTTTGGGTTTTGGTTTATTTTTGTCATTTTCATGCTTTTGTATCGGGCTTTCCATTTCGCACTGGTATCTTTTTTGTTGGCGTAAATAAAATACCAGTACAACAAAAAACGATAAAAAAGCATAAAACACGCCAAAAACAAAGTCTCTGCTTGGAGAGTAACAAAAGGGCAATTTTGGTCCCCAGAGTGGCTGATTTCTAACTGATATCTGGGACCTCACTGGGAGGTACACAGCTTAGCGGTGTTTTCACACCTCCACTTCTGTATCGTCAGTGGATCAACAGGATTATCTCCGCATCACCTGGTCTCACGGTACAGCGATATTCAGCTGTGTATTGGCTATTCTCTAATCTCCAAGCAGAGGTTGGATGGTTTAGGACGATTTTTGGTGCTTTAGAGAGCGAGATTCAACATGCTAGCTAGCCTCTACCAGGCTTTGGGAGGCAGCTGAAAAGAGTAAAAAAATGGCGAAATAGAGAGAGATAGCATGCTGGGGGAGTTGGTCTGCTAGATAAGACTACATTCCCCGGTATGCTATCTCTCTCTCTCTCTCCATATGGCCAATTTCTACTCTTTCCAGCCACCTTCCAAAGCCTGGTAGAGGCATGGGGACTTGTTAAAAACCAGCAAACGATGTTATGATCTACCACCCAACAACTACTTGGAAATTTTCATAAAATACTAGTAACATGTCACCAATATTGGGATTCTGGTGTAGAATTATAGACAAGAAACTCAAATCAAAATTCTTTTTAATATATATCATTGAAGATTACAAAACAAATGTACAGTGGATACACTGTATACTATATTAAACCTGTTTCCAGTCAGTTGGATTAAAAAAAAATAAATTTACATTCCCATTACAGTGAAATGTGTAGTGCTATTTTCTGATACATTTGTACTTTGCTACAGCCACATGTACAAAATGTCCATTGTGTAGCATGTATCCTCAACTATTAAATGCTACACAGCTACATACCATGTGCACGTAACAATCATTTGCTTCTCTATCTTTTATAAATAGTCTCAAATATCACATCATTAATCTGTACACTCATCTAAAAGCTAGATAGCTTTGAAAATCCCATGTGTGTAGAGTTCAATTCAATAACACTTTAACTGCTATCTTGTAACTGTTGCTGTAAGCCGGTCTTGTAATAAACTACAACTAGCTAACACTTGGTTTTACATTATGTGATTCCTAGTAGCTAAACAGTATTCTTTATGCTTGCCAAAGTACAAGTGCTTTGTTGTACTTAGTGATATTATGAAAAATTTTTGCGCCAAAACTGTAAATATTAATCTACATTTGTAATTGAAATTTTCTCATCTAGATTGTCATTTTTTAAAACTTTCAACATATGTTCGTCGCTATTTCACCTTTATGGCGGCTCAGCACAGCGCGATAATAAGTTGCGCCAGGCCCGCTGTATCTTCGGCAGCTTCCATTTTTGCGGCGCAACGACATTGATCTTTTACTCCACAAATGTCATTATGAACCCAGGTAGGCTTATACTAATTATAGCACAAGAAAATGTGTAAAACAACGTTTGAAATAGTGAAAATCTTACATAATACCGCTTTAATTTCTGCAATTGGAAGTTTTTTTCTGGCACGCAGGTCAGATCTATGCATTTTACATATGGCACAGTGTCTGGAATGGAAACTTGGTTAGTAGAAGACCAGGATGTCAGTGAAAACCCCCTGCAGCAGGATGCAGAACCCCATAAAGAACAGGAACCACGTCTTCTCTTTGGGAAAGTCTCCCTTTCTGATGATGTAGATCTACAAGCAGAACAACAGACACATACATGTACTAAGTATCACACAGAACAACAGACACATACATGTACTAACTATCACACAGAACAACAGACACATACATGTACTAAGTATCACACAGAACAACAGACACATACATGTACTAACTATCACACAGAACAACAGACACATACATTGTACATGTACTAACTATCACACAGAACAACAGACACATACATATCACACTAAATATCACACAAAGAACAAGAAATCTGAGATATCTGACTTCTGGGAAGCATTTTGGCCTTCTGTAATCCTACAAGGAGGTTGTATGGCAAACTTAAATCAGGACATCATTTTGGCCTTTTGTGAATTTGTTAAAATAACCTACTACATGTACTAGTGTTCTTGGTTTCTGAATTTCCCCAAAATTCCACCTTTAGATTCATGCTAATACCTGAGGTTGATATTTTGACCTCCTGTTATTCTGCCTTTCAATCTTTCCTCCCATGTGCTGTCAACCTAACCTGGAAGTTACCAGGTGAGTACTAGACTAAGAATGATTTAATGCAAGCACATTATACACATGTATAATAAACTGTCTGACCACAATCATATTGATGTCACTATAGCAATTCAGAGTACAGAAATGTAATCATTTAGTGGACTGCATCTCTCAAAAATCTGGCTAAGGAGAGCTCCTAACCCTATAGCTAGACTCTTTTATCTTGGTGAAAATGAAATCATATCTTACCAGCAACACTTCCAACCCTGCTAGTCCTAGAAGAGGAACAGAAGTTTGAATAACATTCAATTTGGTGATATTCATAACCGAACAACAACAACATATCTCCACACATTATGGTAAAAAGATGCACGTTAAATTTCTATTATTAGAGACTTTTAGTATTTGGGAGGTCAAGGCAAGTCTCCGTGCTTTCTTTTACCAAAAACGTACAGACAAAAACATCATTCAGTCTACAGACATTCCCTTAAAATAGATGAGTGTTGCTATTTACCAAGCATGCAGATGCCCAGAAGAAGGTATAAGGCCCCATTGTAATGGTAGGTTATTCCTCTGTACAAACTCAATACAAGGGACACCTGGAAAATAGGAATGACATTTAACAGTAAAGCATGTACTAGGACTATGTTTTTATGCTTTTTTATTTGTAGTTTTTACACACTTTTAACCTAAAATTTTTTTAACTGAAACTACTAAAAAGAATCATTTATTGTATTTAAATTAAATTTAGAAGACACAACAAATATCAACACAACAGCTATACTATGTATTTAACACATGTTACTTATATCCTTTCAAACTTGAACAGTTTGATTAAAAAAAATGTCTTACCAAAACCATTATCACCACCATCGCAACAAAGGAAATCTGTAGATATCTCTGTAGGGAAAAATGAATACTTATGGTTTCAAATGCAAAATACAGCACATTGCATACTCTTAGTCTTATTTATGGAGTTGGGCATACATTTAGTATTTGTTTTAACTGCAATGCCAAACATTTTCTCATTTTTCACATTTAATAGACAAAAACAATCCAATATGGGTCAATATATAAGTCACATGAAGGTGTGTAATTCATGCATGACGTCACCGATCAGATCATATCTTTAATACACAGGTGGGGAGTAGTGGGAGGGGGGCGGACAGTTTAAACCACTGTGCTCTATATTTTGGCTTGTATGGGGTTATAAACAATACACTAAAGGCAGGTTTACTTGTATTTATTTTGCCACAGATCTGAGCGTTTTCAAAAGTTTGCAAAGATCAGTTTTTGGGCCAAAAAAGCACCGTAACTGCATCACCAACAATAATTTTGTAAACCTGTAAAGTTACTTCCGGGTTACCCCTACCGCAAACTTTAGACCACAGTTTCGAGACTTTTCGCGACGGACTTCGCCAGAAATTCCACAGATTATAGTCCTTACCTGCACAGGTGTCTGTGTGGAGTCATAGTAGAGCGCTGCGTTCTCTTTAGGCGGTGGTTCGGGCGCACTTCCCACCTGGCCTGAACCCAGCAACGGCGTTTTGGAATCAGCCATCTTGAAAACTTTTCTTTCCAGGGCTGTCTATTGCTGTGCCTGTGTATTTGCCTCACTTTTTAACACATTCAACGCCTGAAATTTACTACAGAAACATTACTGACTACAGATATGTTTATACATTTTGTATATTAGTTAATCTTAGCCAATACTAGGTTAAAAGTCTTAATTTCTTCGCGTGGTGTGAAAATTTTATAAGGCACTTTTTGTACACAATCCCGTGGTCGTCACATGACAGGTGTTTACCTAAGAATCAAAATGGCGGCGGCTCCAAGTGAGGGACTCACCAATCCAGAGGCTATTTACTACGATGTGGATCCAAAACAGGTACAAAACTAACCAGTAACAGCCAAAACCGCGTGTCTAGAGTGTTTGGACAATTCTGTAAACACCCTAACACTAGAAACAGCGGTGTACTGTAGAACATAATCTAAGGAGGTAACATTATTTGTGATTGAAGTTTGAACATTGGATATCCATGATCCAACTTTCCCAAGTTAAAAGTTTCTCAGATCGTGACTATTATAAACTTTCTTTTCTTTTGTCACGGCGGTTGACTAAAGAAAATCTTCAATTTAATATGTAAGCGTCTTTCAGGTTTTTGCAGTCCGGCTGTTTGGAGCTGTTACAGGTGTCAATATTCTGGTAAGTGATGTCATAAAATGAACAATATTCTATGTTTATAGTACTCTACTCAAGTCTAGACTCTAGTGTACTAGTAATTTAACTCTACTCTACTGAGGGTTAGGGTTATTACTTATTGGGTTATAGGGTTAGCCTACCAATAGTTGGAAACATCTCATTGACAACGTACAAAGCATGTCAGTAGACTAGGTGAAAAAGAGAAAAAAAATATGAAAAAAAATCTTATTGACAGGCTTAGCCTATCCTATTGGTAACTGTGAAAGTCTTAATTCATCAACTAAGGCATTTTAATAACCTTTTCTTAATTAAGTACAGTACTTGATCAGTAATAATAATTTTCTAGTACAGTACTTGATCAGTATTTGCATTCTGTACAAACTATTAGTATTTGCATTCTGTACAAACTATGAATATAACTTCTGTTTATGAAGGAGCTTTGTTTTTGTTGACTTTTCTTTTTTTGCTACCCTTAAAGTTGGCAGTCATCTTTGTCTTGGTGAAAGCACATGAGAATCCACACTTCTATCTACTGGTTGTCAACTTGGCTTGTAAGTGTCGCTCATATCAAATTCCTTTTTTGTAGTAATTTGAATTTAAAAGAGCATGACATTTTGTCTAGTCTTCATCGACGTATGATACTTTGTATTCACCAGTTTCTGTATGGTTACCTATCATATGTATCTCTAACTTTTTCAGTGAGCACCTTGATTGCAATACTCTTGGTAAGTATACAGTTCAACTCTGTCAATACTGACATAGTATATAGTGTTATACATGTATTTTGTGACAGTGAATCAGACAGTCATCGAAATGTTGTGTCTTGTGAAACAGGTGGTTTTGAATAAAAAGAACTTTGCTATTCAATCATTTAACAACCTGGTAAAAGCTTTCAAGGGGGTTTAGAAAAAAATCACATCGGTTATAATAATAACCTTTATTGTACATTCATTGCCCTATCGGGCTAAGTACAGGCAAACAGATGAAATGGGTAATAAGAAAAAGAGCTTTAATTTGTCCATAAACCTTGATGTACTAACTAGTAGACAGTTGACTTGAACAGAAACTGTGCACCAAAGCATTATTATACACATCCTACAATAACTTTTAATTGTCTCTGATACAGTTTTCATAATTTTACCGTCTCTTTCCCCAGGCATGGTGGTATCGCAGAGGGCAGTTGGTAAGTTTTCTACTGTGCCAAATAATCGGACATTTGCATTTTAGCACTACAAGTTTGCTTCTCTTATTTATTTATAGAGCAACATTCAACTTGTGAAGTGTTTTGTTTCTTCATCTTAACAATAATTTCACCATTGAAGTCACTAACTGTGATATGCCAAATACAGGTAACAGTTAAAAGTAACGATATGATTTTGGAAACGGTCAGACATTTCAGAGGGCATCTGCTATATCTGAAAGGTCTGATCATTTCCAAAATCATATCCAGTTGCCTGGATAACTGTTTTTTGGCATATCTTATTACCTGGATGTCTAACCTTCACTGACGTAGACATGATATTTCCTTATTTCCTCTCCAGAGTGCAGACAAGCACTGGTACATGGCGCTGGTGTGTGCAGTTATCCTCCTGCAGGCCATCACGGCTGACTTGTATGTTTTTAACCACGTGGTCGTGGCCAGCAAGCACAGCGTGTTCCCTGCTACCAATGTCAGCACAAGTACAGCTCCTACTATAAAACCTCCCGGGTAATTACAGTTAAACAACAAACACAAAGTTAGTGGGTAACTAGATCATGAAAGATCAAAACCAAAAGTTCTGCTGCAGTACCTAGGAAGGCCACCAGGGGGACCAAAATCTAAACATTGTTAGGTCTCATCAAGACCTACCCACCTACTAAGTTTCATGGCAATTTATCAATAGCTTCTTGAGTGATGCTGTTTACAAACAAATGGACAAATGCTACTGAAAACATGACCTTCTTGGTGAAGGTAATGAAGTGTGTATTATAATCACAGAACTAGACAAAACTGACAAAACTACCAACTTTTTTTTTAATCAAGATGTGTGATATGATTAATGTTGCTGCTACTGGTGCCTGAGGTTTGTTCATAAGTCTTAGGGTGTAGTCATATTCATTGTAACTTGTCCTACGGTTTTGACATCGACGTCACAGTGTTTTCAAGCAACTGTTGGCAAGGATCTAAGACTGAGTTTTCTTTAACAAGACAGCAAATTTTTTTGAAACACACGCATGACTATCCCAACAATGTTTTCGGTTTGTGATCGTACAATGATTGCACAATGTATCTGACTGGGCTCTTTGCTGACAATCTGAGAAAATCTATGCAAGTATTTATCTAATTAAGATTTCTTCCATATCTAAATAGACTGTTGCCATTAAGAAAGTACTAATGGTCCATATAGATTTTGTTCCATATAAATGAATTTTGTATGTATGTAGTATTGAGTTAACATGCCTTATAAAGTTATATACAATGTATTATGATTTAGTAAGCTCTGTCTTTAACATTTTTGTTTAAGTCATTGGATCATTAGCAAGGGATTTTTAATTTTGTTTTGAAAAAATGCTTCATTGTGCCATACAAGAGATTAAGGTTAAAGCTTCAAAAGGACAGCTTTATGAACAGAGTGCAGCAGTCAACATGAACCATGATGCTATGTTATCTTTACAATTTGTCAATTATCATTTTTTACATACACAGAATGTGATGTAATTAAAAATGTAAAGTAGTGCCTTACCTGGTTATTGTAAATGTTTGCTAACATGTTAAAATCTAGCCCTTTTCCCACTTATACATGTATTGTATATTCCAACTTCTTCAAAGACTTGAATTTCATATACAACTACATTATTGTGAAAGTGTATAGATATGACATTTATTATGTGAATTTTGATGAAAATATGAAAATAATGTAATGTGACTGCAGAAAAAGAATCAGCGTAATTGTCAATTTGCAGAATGTGTGAAATTATGTGGAAAATACAGAAGTGCTCAATTACCTGATAACTGGAGTGGAATGATTTTTGATTGACAGAAAAGGAGTCATGACAGAGTGCAGTAGTCAAGCAAAAGATACGTTACTAGTATTTATTATCGAGTCTCACACATGACTAAAGATCATGACAGGTTACATGTTATTTTGTGAAAAATTATCATTACTGGCAAAAGAAAAATAACTTACATGTAAGACTTCAAGTCTAAGTTATGAAGAAAGTTTGCAGTAATTTCCCATAACCAACACAAGAAATTAGAATAAACCTATAAATCTTTTACTGCATAACTCCAGTCAATGTCTCCCTTACCAGCGTGCACTCAACAAAGACGGGGAGCGTCACAGACTTTCTGCAACATGTGCTTCATCACGGTGTGGTGTATTGCTCATTTCTTGACAAAGACTGAAGTTGCAAGTCCAATTTCAGTTTTATTACAGTTTAAATTTGCTTCATAATTACTTCTACCAACACAAGTAAACTTGTTATCATTAAGCCCATCACAAAATATGTTTGCCTCATTTCTTATGTAAATCAGATTATTTGTATAATATTCATCTCATTATTTTTATCTTTACCTGAGGCACCTACCTACCTAAAACAATGAAAAAACATCCACCCGTGCTCCAGTTATTTGCAACCAAACTAAAAACAAAACGCCCACTACAGTTCCAACGAAGCTGCTAGGAGGCCAAAATTACACCACATACTCCCAGTCCCAATAGCTTTCGACTACTTAAATATCATAAACCTTACACTTCTTGAAAATTTTAACTCAAACTTTGAAACTCCGCTGCAGGAACTAGATCTTAGATGTCAGCTCAGATGTGTTGGAAATTACAGTTTGAACTTACTTCATAATGACTTCTACCAACACACATGCACATTCAAGGCAAATTCGATTGGTTATGTCCAATTATAAAAGAGAGTAGAAGGGCTCTCCTGCTCGGGCTCTTTCTTCAGTCTCGGAGCGAACAGCACACAGCGCTGTAACTTCTTCCAGCGACGCTTTGCAGTAGACGTAGCCGGCCTCATGCTGTTCTTCTCGATGTACGTGCGCAGGAAGGCTCGGGTACCGGTAGCTCCACGCTGTCAGAAAAGAGAAAAGAATCAACGAATATCTTCCAGAAACAGATATTTACACAAATGGTATAGACCCGCACTTACGTTTCGATGTCTATCAGATACCTTCCTCAGAGCTTCTGACTGGAGTACCGATTCTCGCTGCTACATGCACATGAATATGTAGTCATTATAGGAGGAGCTTTTGCGGCGAGAACACAGTCCTAAACGTGGCTAAGTTTGTATCCCCCCTTAGAGTTATTGTTGCCTCTTCACGAAACGTTCGTAGATTTTCTTCTTTTATGCTGGATCAAGAGCAGTAGGTACGACGTATACTACAGTATGTTTTACACATTTAAGTTGTCAAAATATCCTTACCTCTTAAAGTTTAAGAGTTAATGACATCACATGTACTTTCTAATTGCCCGCATCAATAATAACAGTGATGATAACCTGCTAGAATTACCTTGAAGAGAAACATTTTATCCTCGTCCTCCAGCTTAAAGTCTGTTGTCTTCACGTAGTCACTGTCCACTCCGATAGTCCTGTCCATATCGTAAACCTGCATTATAAATGTTTGATGATAGAGAAAGCATACAATGATTAATGGCGTATACACATGCACATATCAATGGTGTATACAAATGCCCATTTGAATGATGTTTTCCTTTACTGTTTGTAATTAATTATATAAATACATTCAGTGCAATTTCAGGGCGACAAAACAAAAATATTCTGGATAAGGAAATCTGCCTGATATTGACATTGCATTGCATGTCTTTCTTTAAAAGTACGATGCCATAATGACAATAACAATGCCTGTCCTTGGTGCTGAGCATCATCCACACACAGGCGAACATATGCCTAGCTTGTCCTTGGTGCTAAACAACATACACACACAGGCAAACATGCCTGTCCTAGGTTTTGAACACCATCCACACACAGGCAAACATGCCTGTCCTTGATGTTGAACACCATCCACCACAGGCAAACACGCCTGTCCTTGGTGCTGAAAACCATCCACACACAGGCAAACATGTCTTGCCTGTCCTTGGCGCTAAACCCATCCACAAACAGGCAAACATACCTGTCCTTGGTGCTAAACACCATCCACACACAGGCAAACATGCCTGTCCTTGGTGCTAAACGTCATTCACACACAGGCAAACATACCTGCCCTTGGTGCTAAACCCCATCCACACACAGACAAACATACATGTCCTTGGTGCTAAACGTCATTCACACACAGGCAAACATACCTGTCCTTGGTGCTAAACCCCATCCACACACAGACAAAAACATGCATGTCCTTGGTGCTAAAACCCATCCACACACAGGCAAACATGTCTGTCCTTGGTGCTAAACACCATCCACACACAGGCAAACATGCCTGTCCTTGGTGCTAAACGTCATTCACACACAGGTATATATAATACTTTTCTGCACGCACCTTGCGATAGACTTTCTTCCCCAGAACCCCGAGAAGGTCCATGTACTTGAGGGTGTAGTCTTTGAGACTGGTGACATGTGCCCGCCTCTCTTCCATACTGCGAGTCAGCCAGCTGAAGCCGCGGTTGGTGAAAAACTCGTGGATCTCCTGGAAGGTCAGCTTCATAAAGGAATTTAACAAAAACATTTCATTGTATGAATAATACTGACAAAATCATAATAGTTATTGAAAATAGTGACAGACCTCTCCGGGACCTCTACAATTACTACAAGCATTGGTTAAAGCTTATAGGTCTTCTCGTACTAAAAAAAAATACAAAAAAAACAACAACAACAATATCTACGCCATAGGAATCAGCAAAACGTGCATCGTAACATCAACGACCTATTTCTGTGTATAATGCAAATATACGTTAAAGTGTACAAAATGCAAAATGCAAGGCAAATGCATTATGTTAACATTCACATGATTGAGCCGAAACACACTACTGTTTTTATTTGGCTTTAAAACACATTCATATATGATATATGGTGAGCAACCCCTCCAACTCTGCCCTGCTACATAATGTAACCCAACACCACAGGGTGCCTGCTACAGCACTGGTTACCGTGGTGACAGACGTCCAGGTCATTGACTTAATTGTTTGAGGGAGAAGAAGAGCAAAAAACAATATGTTTCGTTCCGCGAAAAATAAACATACCATCCCATCTTTGTCAGCGTCCATCTGATTGAAGAGTTGGTCTACCGAGTAAGACTCCCCGAACAGCTTCTGCTTTTCTTTGTCAGTCAGTGAGTCATTTCCTGCCTGTTTAAGATATGTGTTTCAAGTAACAAAACATCTGTCAAATGGCAATTATTCTTTTGTGCTAAACATCATCCACCACAGGCAAACATGTCTGTCCTTGGTGCTGAACACCATCTCCACTCAGGCTAACATGCCTGTCCTTGGTGCTGAACACCACCTACACTCAGGATAACATGCCTGTTCTTCGTGCTGAACCCCATCCAAACACATGTAAACATGCATGTCTCTTACTGCTGAACCCCACCTACACTCAGGCAAGCATGCCTGTCCTTGGTGCTGAACCCAATCTACACTCAGGCTAACATGCTGGTCCTTTGTGCTTAACACCATACCACACACATCATAAACACATGTAAACATGCATGTCTGGTGCTGAATACCATCCACACACAGGCATACATGCTTAAATCTTTCTTTACTTTTTCTATGTTATGCCACAACTTATGCCTATGTTCAAGGCAATTGAAATTCAGACTATGGGACGATGCTAATGAAAGCTTAAACTCTATCAGACTTCGGCAAGCGGCTGGAAAGTGTATAAATTGACCAAATAGACAGATGATATGCCAGGGGAGTTGGAGTTGGTCCACGCTAAGAGAACAGTTCTCGGGAGCAACTGTTCTCTTAGCGTGGAGCAACTCCAACTCCCCTGGCATATCATCTGTCTATTTGGTCAATTTATACACTTTCCAGCCGCCCGCTTCCTGAAGAACGGGAGAGGCTAATAAAAGCTATGGGATCATCGTGATTGTCATCGATCTAGACTTAGAAAGCCTCTGTAAAAGACTTAGAAAACCTCTGTAAAAGCCCTGCGCAGTTCCTCCCTAGTGATAGTCGAGGTCTGCTTTATGTTATGGCTCTTCAGACTTGTCAGAAACTTGTCGATCAGTCCGCGGATTTTCTTCCTGTTCTCCATGGCTTCGACAGTTTCAACAGTTCTCTTATCTTGGTAAGCCCTACATATGCAAGGGAAGGTTTCTTTCGATTCATGTACTTTTTTTATTACGATTTAGTAACTAAAAAAAGCTGGTGTTACACCAAAGGGTCCTTATACCCGATACAGATACAGATACATATACAGAAAAATCGAAATTCTACTTGCAATAGCCTTGTATAAGAAAAGATTATAACGTTTTCCTGACCTGACTGCCTCGGTGTCAGGTCTTTTCTTCTCATACAGCCTTTCCTCCTGCGTCAGACGGTCACAGAGAACTTGCTGGTACTGCTCAATGTCGTCTTCAGAATACTGGTAAAAGAGGCGCATTTGTTTTATTAAACAGTGTAAAAAGTACAGGTACTTTACACGACTTTTCTCACTTCAATCAGGTAGAAATAAGTATATAATTTCGGTTAGGGACGTCGAATAAGCCGTTAAATGGGGGCCCCAAGCGAGTTTCGGAGAGCCACACCCCACGCACGTTATTAAGATCCCATCACACTTATCGAATAGAGTAGGGGACCTTCCCGGTGTGAGTGGTTCAAACCTTACAGTCCGGTCCGCAGCTTGTATTTACAAAAAGTGGTGTGTTAGGCTTAAAAGACAGTTTACCGGTTATGCGAAACAAACAAATATGATGCGGATTGTTTTTTTCAAGCGTACTAACACTGAACAAGTACGGTTTCATTGACACCTTTAATCTCCAAGCAGATCCTAGGGTGGCAAAAGACAGTATCAAATTGACCAGGCAGTAGCCATTCGCCAAAAACGATCCAATACGCGAGAAAGTCGCACTGGACAAGTTTATTAACCTTGGGTGGCGTATTTGACCCTCCCTGACAAATGGATACTGCCTGAACAATTTGATACTGTCTTTTGTCACCCTAGGATCTGCCTGGAGATTTCCACCTACCAGCATTAGGCCGATGGTTTTGGGGTTGACCGGTTCGAAGCGGTTGGAGCGGTGCATGGCACGGCTGAGGTTGGCCAGGTCATCCAGTCTGCTGAACAACGAGTCAGCCTCCTCCATGGAGAGCCACCAGCCTGAAAGACAGTCACAAGCGATGAACTGGTTTAATGAAGTTACAATAAAGTTAATGAGTTAGAATTTAGTGATTAGTAGTTAGAGTAGTCTATAGTCACGTTCTATATTGTTACCCATCCTGTTGTCCATGTTACTTGCAATGTATTGACCTAGATGTTGAATTAAGAGCCATGCAATGATATAAGATGTACGTACCATCGAAGGCGTGGAGAGGATAGTTACAGATCACCCCCCCATCCACGTAGAACTCTTTGTCTCCATGGTAATCGGTCATCACCGGCTGGAATAGTCCTGTCCAAGTACAGTCAAAGACTACATAAAGGAAATCTATTTCTACATGACTGAAGTCTTTTTGCCACATGACTGAAGTCTCCTTGCTACATGACTGAAATCTTTTTTGCTACATGCCTGAAATCTTCTTGTCACATGACTGAAGTCTTTTTGCTACATTACTGAAGTCTTTTTGCTACATGACTGAAGTCTTTTTGCTACATGACTAAAGTCTGACAAGTGAGTAGAGCAAACCTGGGATGGACATGGACATCCTGACAGCCTTACGGATGGGCAGGTCGGGCGTGGTCTTGACGTGGCAGTATTCCTCCGTCATCTGGTCCAAGTTTGTCACCACGATGCAGAGTTCGATTCCGCTCATTTTGTACAGCTGAAGAAACACAACATAGTGTTACAAGGCATTCAATGCGCATTTCTTACTATGCGTATTACTTTCTTAGAGGATGCCAGGATGATCATGCATCAACCCAGTCTGACTCTGGAGGACCTAAAGAGGATCACCCACGACCGCCAAGTATGGCGCAGGGCGCTTTGTAGAAGGAAGGACTGGCTTTGACGTAGGCCACTCGCCTAGCTGAGGAGACCTACTCAACTACAAGTAGTAAGTATTACTTCTTACTAGAAATACAATAAGGATTACTGGATGGAAACTATTGCATCTGTCCCCACTGCATACTTTCCAATCAGAGAAGGAGTAGTCTCAGCCTTGTTAGCTTTGGTCCGCTTCCCAAGATCCGCTACCTCTGTCAAGACATCTCTGCCACCTCCAAAAGCCTCGACTTGCTCGGGTTTGAGCGAAGTAATGCTAACTCTTCTAAAACTGACGCAATCACGGAATCCATGTGAATACGTACGCCAACTGAAAACGTTTTAATGGTAAAGACTCCTAGTCTTTTTGGTGGGGGTAGCGAATCTTAGGAGGCGGACCAAAGCCAACAAGGCCGGACTCCAGGCTGGAGAGGGACCTCAGGTGGCATCGTTCAAGGCATCCAATGCGATTTTATGGCAGAAAAATTGAAATATTTGAATAAGACACTCTGTGTGATATTATTAGCATATTTCAAGAGTCAGTATTTTATACTTTGGGTATTAAAAACTGCAGAAACAAGCCCCAAGACGAGTCTCTTATATTCTGGGAGGCACCCCAAAAGTCAGCCAAGGTCCCTTCCAGTAATCATAATCCGTCAGAATTTTGAGTATGCTTGCTCCAAGAGGGTTAATACACATTGGGACAGTGGACTACTCAGTATGTAGATAAACGACTAGAATATTGACTTTAAAAAATCGGATTTCAAAGCCCTAAAACCTGCACTGGATGCCTTTAAACAGTCCGACGGATGATCAGATCACAACCTTGCGATTTTTTTACCCCCATGATCAGACGTACCTGCTTGAAGGTGACGTCTGGGTTCCCAGGACGGCCTTCCTTACGTGTGAACTTCTCCAGGATGCCTCCAAAGAACTGGGAGAACCCGTCACCTGTTTCCCATCCGTAGCGTCTGTACAGGTTGACTGGTTTGACCAGTTTCTGCATGTATCCTCCTGTAGAGATAGATACACATTATATGCTAGTAACCGTCGATAAAAAGGCATGGGGCGTTACAATCTTCTTTAGCTATAGCTTTACCTATTACATGCCTAAAGACCTTTTGCTACATGGCTGGCATTTTTGCTACATTTGCTACTGGATACATGGCGACATGACTAGGGGTCTTTTTGCTACATGGCTGGAGTTTTTTTGCTACATAATTGGAGTCTTTTTCTAAATGGCTGGAGCCTTTTTGCTACATGACTGGGGTCTTTTTGCTACATGGTTAAAGGTTTTTTTGCTACATGACTGAATTTTTTAAGTATCCAAATTCCAAACTTGTACCTACTTGATCCAGGGAGACAGTGTGGACATACCGGAGATGAGAATCTTGCCCAGATCCACGTCAGCCTCCTGTGCCACGTCCGCGCAGCTCAGTCCCAGGGCCACGAACGTCGCCGTGATGGCTCCTGCGCTCACCCCCGCCACTCGTTTGATGTTCGTCAGGATTCCAGCAGACTCCAGAACCTGAGAGACAGAAAAAGGTATATGCCCAGTTATGTTAGGAATAAAGGTTTGCGTGACTAGGTTATATGAAATTAGCAGGAAAGGAAATGAAAGGTGAGGAAAGATGCCCAGCAGCGGGACGTTAATGCACTGTGTCAAGGGCACGGTTTTGGAAGGCGGAGCCCATCCCTCTCCTTCTACACCTTGGTGAAGTGAGGAAAGTGGTGCAAAGTGCCTATCCCAAGGACTCCAGATCGGTGACATGACAGGATTCGAGCCCAGAATCTCTAGGTTCTGAGCATAACACCAAGTCGTTACGTCCCATCTTCTTGAACGATATCATAACACAATTGATACTTTCAATACACCTTCCTTTCCAACAGAAACTAGATGGTACTTGAATTGACAAGCAGTCATACTTACCCTCAGCGCGCCAACATACGCCACTCCTCGGGCCCCTCCTCCCTCTATCACCAGGTTCTCAAACGGGAAGTCATAGTTTCCGAACTCCTTGTCCTGTGGGTCGTCTATTGCCGCAACGTCCAGTGGCTTCTTCTCTTGATGTGATTCCACATTCCCCATTTCGTTCTGTGCTTCCGATGTCGTCTGATTGAGCTCGACCGTCTTCTAACTGCGTCAATGCACTATGTACGGTATGTGCACCCGATTCTGTTACGATTACCGAAAGTTTGTTAATGAAACAGTATGCAATCTGTGTTTCATTTGTCTTTTGTGTGTATTGTTTGTAAGTCCGGATACAGTATAAAACTTGGAAATTCACAAAACCACTAGAATGCCCAAATTTGACTTTTTTCCACACTGACACTACAAGCTACATACAAAAAACTGTAAAAGAAGCATCCATGACATCAAAAGTTATCCCGTCTAGTCACATTCAGTCATAAAAAATACCACAAAAGCTAAAAAAACAGCTATTTCGCCGAACACCATGCCAGATGCTAACTGACCAAGCATCTATGTTCCACTCAAAAATCAAGACCAGAGCATGTCCACAACACGAGATATGATACAATGTACCCCACTGCAGTACCTTACAAAACCGCTAGAGTACCCAAAATTGACTTTGACTTTCCTTTTCCCAACCTCATCCTTCCTACCAAATATCATAAAGATACATGCACCACACTCCAAGCTATAACCGATTATAAAATCAGCAACCCCTGCGCATGGTGTACCTAAACACATAACCTGGCGAAGGTAATTAGGTCAAAGGTGGAGTTTGTTTACTGTTGTCAGAGTTTGAGCTGGTAAACCCCCTGTTTTCCTTCTGAATTTGGGAAGCAGACCCTTGTGGTTCTCTGGTGCAGAAGAATTTATGAGATTGAAATGTAAAAAAAAAGTACTTTCATGAGGACTTGTTTCAGTGTATTTTACCATAGGTTTCTAAAATTAAGCTGGTGTGTTACGCCGAAGGGCAGTTATTCCGGCTATACCGTCACAGGTACAGATATGGCCGAAGGCAATTGCCCTGCCTGCCTTTCAGTTGACAGCGCCCTGAAATATGTCGCTTCCAACACAAACCAACCTTTGTACAGGCTAGAATCTGTTTTTCCTGATCTCTTAAACCACAACACAGACTGTGGACAAGACTCCGTTAACTTACTTATATCTAATTTTTTTTCTAGACTCCAAGCTGCAAATGACAGGCAGAACCTGCACACTCTAGATCGATCTATCATGTTAAACGGAATGTAGAGCACAAATTACGATTTCAATCTGTATAATGTGCGTTTATACACTATATACTGCGTTTTCAAATGTACTGCGATGGCTGTGTGTGTGAGGGGGTGGGGTGGAGGCATGTACGTAAGTGAGTGGGTGCCTGGAGTTGTAACAACTGTTCAAATCCTTACCTTTTTTCCAAGACAGTTGGACTAATAGCAGCAAACCACCACGTTCTCAGAAGTCCCGACAGTTGACCTTTCTCTTCTTCAAAACTCCTGTTACCTGCACGCCTGCTGGACCAAGTGAAGTCTTGCTTAAGATCAAGAACCTGCACACTAACCCCACCTCCGTAACTTGGGATGCAAACGCAGCGTAGTTACGTTATTAGCAGAATAACCAATACTGTATCCAACAGGCAAGCTTCGGACACAGCATCTAATGGCTCGTTTAATCTGCCTCTAACTCTAGGGTAGTATGTAAATCTCCTGACTGGACTGGTTTGACTGGTCGAATCAAATCACATGACTTTTACCTCTCGGGGACACCATCGAAATCGGGGTTGTTTACTTTGATTGTTATGTATGTTATGTATTGTTATTACATTGGATGATGCTGTATTATGAGCTGATGTCAAACGCGCGAAAGTACTAAACGTTTTTGGTGCTTCAAATGACACAAAACAAAACATTTGGAATTTTTTTTTAAATTTCTGGAATACCTTTAGTGTAATGACGCGTGACGCACAAGCAAGCACCCAACCCACCCCACCCAACTATTTGAACAACGACTTTTGCTAGGTCAAGTGAGTCTAATGATACCACCTTGGCTTCGCTGCTGACATATTACCCTATAGGTCACCCCTTAATCTAACAACATACTTGAAAGTACATTGTACTGGGCAAAATTATTGCTTAGAGTTACATGACCGGCTCTACAAAATCCTGCCGACACAAAAAATACAACAATTACTGATTTTTCTAACTTGCAGCATTTTCTTTAATTTGTACTACGCAGACATATCAATCATAGTTTAAGCAAAAGACAAGTTCTTTATTATCAAGTGTTACACATATGACTGAAGAACATGATTGTTAACTTAACAGTTTTTTAAAGATTATCAATACTAGCAAAACAAGCCTATACAAGGATAAAGTATCAGTCGGCACAGGCACTGTCTTACGTGTAAGACTTCAAGTCTAAGTTATGAACCACTATGGCGTCATAGAAGCGGTAAATAAACACTGAAGTTGTACAGTCAAAAATTTGGGTGATCGAGCCCAATTTCTTGTGTTGGAAATTACAGTTTGAACTTACTTTATAATGACTTCTACCAACACTGATGGACATTCAAATTCAATTGGTTATATCCATTGATAAAAGATATTGAGATATCAATTAAGTTGCAAAACAGTGAATTCCCATCTGTATCTGTGCAGGTATAGCCGGTATAGCCGGCAACAGACGACACGAGTGTAATGTCCATCTATGGTAAGCTTTCGTAGGTTATAAAATGCCCTTTGTTCTACTATGTCCAATTTCATGGAAATGGTAGATTCTTTTCTAAGATGCACAAGTACAATACACTGCAATGCAAACTCAGATGTTATACACTACAATGCAAGGAGCTTTAATATAGGCTACAATGCAAACGTACGGATGTTAGAATTTAGATGTTACACACTGCGATGCAAACTTAGATGTTAGTAGAAGGGCTCTCCTGCTCGGGGTCTTTCTTCAGTCTCGGAGCGAACAGCACGCAGCGCTGTAAGTTCTTCCAGCGGCGTTTCCCAGAAGACGAAGTCGGCCTCATGTTGTTCTTCTCGATGTACGTACGCAGGAAGGCTCGGGTACCTGTGGCACCCCGCTGTTCACAGAGAAATAAAAGCAATCAACGTTTGATACGAATATCTTCTAACTTGGTATCTATCGCGGTTGGGGCGGACTTTCTTCGGGGCTGTTTTTTTTTCACGACGGGAGTTTGATTAGCCCCACTAACTAACGCCCGGCGTGCCATCCACGCACACATGCGTAACTCCTACCGGGTAGACTGGATACCAGGCTAAATATCTTCAAGAAACACACACACACACACACACACACACACACACACACGCGCGCGCGCGT